GTTATTATATCCCCTTTGATTTTATGTAAAGTTTCATAAATCTTTTAAAATGCTTAAAATTGTCAGGTATGCACCTGAAGCATGGAATATGCTTCAGGGTGTGTTTTGTGTATACAAACCAGCAGATATGACCATGAATCACCTGAGAAAAGTGTTGATCGGCAACCTTTCCCGTGATCTCAATTTATTGAAGACTCGTCCGGCTACTCCTATGGTTGCCATTGAAGGTTAGTTTGATATATCATGCAAATGCAGGGGTCAAGATTGAAATGTAATTGATATATATTTTTCCTTCTAAAACTATTTGCTCTATCTAATCATGAAGCAGTGCCTAAGCATTATAATACATATTTGATATATAAAACCCTTGCAGGCAGTGTCACAGAAAATTTGGTTGTGAAAGTGAAAGAGAATTATGCTGATCACCCATTAGTTCTTGGTCCAAGATACCAACCAAAGGATATCAAACTAGCATGGGCCCATCAGTTGGATAAGAATATCTCAGGTAAATGAGGTCTATTGATTTGTTTATATATATATTTTTTTTTTTTTTTTTTTATTGAATATCTCAGGTAAATGAGGTCTATTGATTTATTTATATATATATTTTTTATATCACTTTTTTTTCTTTAATACATTGTGCAAGCAGTCTCAATTTATATTGATTTTATTGAACCACAACTTGCTGAACTAGAATGGCATATATCTGTAAAATATCTTGTGACTGAATTTTAGTGTATTTCATTTAGATTTGTAAAATTGTTTAGAATATTATAATGATATTTTATTTTTCATAGGAGTTTGCATTTTGGGTGTGAATAGTGGCACAAAAGGTACACACAAAGTAAGGGAATCACAGTTGATTCGTTCTTACATGGTTTCGGGCCAGTTTGGACGAACAACTGACACGCTCTTTAATGATGGCAAGGTGAGTACTCATTTAATAAGTCTATTCAGTATTATAGTTATAATTGAATAGATATCCTTTGATAAGTTTTAATAGTTATCGATATTATTATGTATTATATTGATTAAAATTATTTAGCAAACTTTTGATTTTGACACTGGTGCACAATTTACAATTGTTAGGTGTGTGTTGTGTTAAAAAGAAAAAAAATATATTCCATACTGAAGGCATTACAAAATACAATTATTTTATAACTTTATTAAATTTAATTGTATCAGTGATGTATTTCATTTTGATGTGAAATATTTTCATTGCTTCTTAAAAAGATTAAATTGTTTCTTTCTTTATGAGGGAAGGTTATAGGGAAGTCAACATACAAGCATGTAACAAGAGGACGTTTGATGCGAACATTAATGACCATACAAGCTGGTCATCAGAGGAGTGCACTTCATTTTTTGGGTCTTGACCCACAGTCTCAGGTAAGAGGTTCTATCAGCAAAAACAGCTGGTGTTGGTACATTTTCATATGGTCAATAAAAATGATAGTCCACAATGAAATTAACACTAAAATTTAGTCCCAAAATGAAAAATAATTAAATATGCTTTTGCATTTATGTTATAGAAATTTTCTAAATGAATGTCTAATATCAACAGGAAGCATATGAAGCTCTTTCAGCTGATGGCCTTGTAAGACCTGGCGAGAAATCTCCGCCATTGATATATGCACTGAAAATTGTTGACTTCAATTTACCAGATTTCACTCTAGGTAAGATTATCTGGATCCTCAAGTATCTAAAATTCCAATAGAAAAAGAATTACATATATGATACAATTGGGTGCAAAATAACTTTTATCAAAAAGAAACAGTGGAAATGATTTTGGAGGCCTTATCTGGCAACCCAAGTCACATGCATCTCCAAGAGTAAGTAGACAGGGTACATCTTTAATTGCCAATTAGTTTGTGTTTTTTATTTACATTATTACTACATAACTGAACAATCTTTCCAGAGGTTTCGTGCATTAATGAAAATGCTGTCTACCTTCAACACCTGGTGCATGACCTAGCGTTACGACTCAAGACCACTGCTGTGTGCACACAGATGCGCTGCATTCGCTATGGACCTTGGACTCTGCAGCATAGTTTGCTTCATAAGCATTGGTGTCTAGAACATATTTTAGATAATATAACCCATAGCAAACCACTATTTAAAGATATAATGCCCAAATCAGCTAGTTTGGTTATGTTAAAAGATGAGCAAAGTAAAGAATTATAGAATTGTAAATACATTAACATCAGGTGAGACTGGTGAGTGTAAATATATTGTATAATAAATTTCAGTAAATATAAAGATCTCTTTTTGGTATTTGCCTTTGATAACCTTTTACTGATGATACTGGTTTAGAGATGTTGAATGTGCCCTACATGTCAGTCAGTGGTACCCCCTCCCATGTAGAAAATTATCATCCAACAATGATAAAGTTCAATTAATCTGCCCTACATGTCAGTCAGTGGTACCCCCTCCCATGTAGAAAATTATCATTCCTGACTCATTCAGCCTTCAGTTATCGTCATTATTATTACAGTTATTTTCATTATTTTATTATTATTTTCACTATTGTCTTTTTTATTGTTATTCTTTTGTTTTGATGATGATGATAATATATGATATCATAATAGACTAATGATAATAATAAGATTAATGATAATAATAATAATGAAAAATATAATAATAACATTAATGTTAGTAACAAGGATAATAATGATAATAATAATAATAATAAAATCATTATAATATTATTATCATCATAATAATGATATTATTATTGTTATCATTTTCATCATCATCACTTATTATTATCATAATTGCAATCATCCTTACTTTTATTATTTTTTTATTGCTATTACTATTATTATAACAGTGTGACATATGACTATTTTTTTAAAATTTTCTGGACTATAGGGGTCTATTTAGAGTAATCTGACCTTATTTGACACAGAAGCTGTAACACTTATTGTGTGACCTGAGAGTGAGTGAGTGAGTGAGAAAGAGAGAGTGAATGAGTGAGTGAGAGAGTGAGTGAGTGAGTCTCCCTCCACCTTTTTTCTTTCTTTCTCTTACTGAGACTCAAGTTTGGTTTTCAAAAGGGACTCGGCTGCAATGATGCATTGCTGATGTACATGAAATGCAATCTGCTTTTGATAAGGGTCATGAGTCAAGACTTGTCTCTCTGGATTTTTGTGCAGCTTTTGACACTGTTAATCACAAGGGCTTAATTTTTAAGTTGCAGTCTGTTGGTGATGGTGGTAAAGTATTTTAATTGAAATTTTAACTGGTAGGCAGCAGTGTGTTCATGTTGATGGTAGTTTTAGCTTGTATTCCTGTGTGTCTTCTGGTGTTCCTCAGGGTAGAGTTCTTGGCCCATTGTTTTTTCTTTTATGTACAAGCGATATGTGGTCTGGCCTTACTAATAAAATGGCACATGCTGATATTCTGATATTCCTTCTCTGGCAACTAGGCAAATAGTAGCTGACAGTCTCACTGTAGACCTAATGACAATTCAATCGTTGTGCTCTCGGGGGGGCACGAAATTAAATCGTACTAAGTATAAGGAAATGATTTGGTCTCGTACACAGTTGCCTCAGCATCCAAGTTTGCTGATTACTGGAGTCTTAATCACTTCAGTAGATAAGCTGAAGCTTTTTGGTGTAACCTTTAATTTAAAGCTTATATTTGAGTTGCATATTAGGAATATGGCCCGGGCAATCTCATCTAAGTTAGGCATCATTCACAAGTGCAAGAAGATCTATGAAGATGACAACATTACTCATAGATGCTGCTTTTCTTTTATTCTTCTTCTTTTTGAGTATTGCTCTCCTGCGTAGTTATCTGCTGCAGATTTAATCTTAAGACTGCTTGATCTTCCTCACTCTTTCTCTCCCTCTCTCTCCCTCTTTATTTTAATTCCATTAAATTTCTCCTGTCTGACTTAAATTTGGACATTAGACTTCGTAGGGTTATTGGAGCTCTTTCAGTCTTATAAAAATTGTAACCAATAATCTATATACCCTCTATAAGTTTCTACCTGATTTTTATCAACCTGCAAGAGTTACCAGAAGTTCTATGACCTCAATTCAGTGGCATTTGATGTAAGTTGATCTTCTACAAGTCAGTTTTCTAGTTGCTTTTTTACTGCTTTTGCCTTTAAAGATTGTAAGTTCTCTGACTCTTATTAAGTTTAAAAGATCAGCTAACATGTTTTACGTAAATAGCTAACTTTCTATTCTTTCCTAGCTGTATCTTGACCTGCACTGACACCTTTGGTGGTAGAAATCTCAATTTATTCAGTGTGGCTCTTATATAGCTTACAATAATAATACTAATACTACTGATAACAATAATTGTGTGACCCTGAGTGAGTGAGTGAGTGAGTGAGTGAGTGAGTGAGTGAGTGAGTGAGTGAGTGAGTGAGTGAGTGAGTGAGTGAGTGAGTGAGTGAGTGAGTGAGTGAGTGAGTGAGTGAGAGAGAGAGAGAGAGAGAGTGAGTGAGTGAGTGAGTGAGTGAGTGAGTGAGTGAGTGAGTGAGTGAGTGAGTGAGTGAGTGAAGAGTGATGAGAGTGAAGTGAGTGAGTGAGATCCCTCCCTCCCTCTTCCTCACTCTTTCTCTCTCTCTCTCTCTCCCTCCCACCCACCCTCTTTTTCTGTTTCCTACTCTCACTCTTTTTCATCGTCCTTTTTTCTATCTCCCCTACCTACCCCTCTCTCTGTCTCTTCAGATACTGTGAACTGACTCCCTTGGTTTCTTTAGGCAGAAAACCACAATGATAGTAGTGCTTGGAAGAATGGATTTGTATTATGGAAATATGACATATCAGCACTAATGTCCATTTAATATAAAATGTTATAGCAATAGTAAGTACATGTTTAAATCTGCAGAAAAAAAACATTAATGTAAGCCTACACTAAACACTATCTCTAACTTCATTTTGCTCAGGTCTGTGTGGAATACTTGAGCCAGAGGCCTTAGGAGTTTAAGAGTTAAACTTGTTTTTTTCCATAAATATTCAACCGATTAGGAGAAAAAGTAACTGGGGCTTATGTAAAATATTTATTATTCTCTAACAATGTAACAACCTGCAGTAAATTAATTGTACTACTTTTTGTAACACTACAAAAAATGCACATGTTATATATTTTTTAAGTATAAATATATCAATATTTAAAAGAGTATTCTAAAAAGGAAGACAAACAATGCTTTTATTACCCAAACAAACTCTTAATTTTTTAAAAGAGCACAAAACTGATGCAATGTCTGAGAAAAGAGCTGCAAAATTTCTGTTTCCCAACAAAATATTTTTATTCATGTGTATGAGACCAAACTGGTTTTCTCTTTTCCACAAAACTCTTGATACCTTCTTGTCCATCCTTCATGTTGATATTGTTGACCATTACACATGCTCCTTCCCTGAAAATAATATTGTGTGTATCATATTTAGTTGTGTAGCCTGTTACTTCAAAATCACATATTAAAAGAATAAATACATACATATCTTCACACAAAAACACTTGCATGCATGCACAGATGCACACCGACACACGCACATGTACAAACTGGGCCCCTATGAATTACTTGTAGGAGTGAAAGAATTTGTGAAACTTCTATAAACAGACAAACTGATAAATATTTAAATATACATGTATATATAATCTGGCTGTAGTGACTCATTTGAACAAAGAAAAATTATGGGTGCTCCTTCCTCCTATCTTTTTCAAGTATAGTTGTTTTATAATACATAATAATATCTACTTGCTTTACTCTTACTTGTTTAAAAGATATTTAATTGTTTTACTCTTACATGAATTGAATTTGTAACCTCTTGTTTAAATGTTTTTCTTTGCATACAAGCTCAAAGTGGAATATTTGAAATCAAGTAATGATCAAACAAGTAAGATCAAACTGTGTATATAGTACATTAGCTTAACAATAATGAAGATAAAACAGAGAAAATGGATTCAAAAGAAAGGGTAAAAATCATTGGGTCCCCAAGATGTTACACATACCAATGCCTTTGTGGTCTATAACATGTATCCCATTTTGGATAATTCAAATAGCAGAGATTGCTGACCCTATATTAGGGATATAAACATTTGGAGAGAATGAAATGTGCTGCATGGCAGAAGTTGGTTCCTGATGCTGACAAATTGTTTAAGCTCAAAACAAAGAATCATAAAGACTACAAAAAACTTCATTGTCTCTGTTTTTATCATATTTTAAGCAAATATTCTTTACTTACCTATAGGCTTCTTCTATTCCCATTTCCATCTGCTTGTACATGAATTTTTTTCCAAGAGAAATTACAGCCTTACTTTTGTGCGTTATAGCATCTACCGTTTTCTGCACTTCAGAATCTGAAAAAGAGAACAAGGTATGCCTGAACAAAATACACCTGCAACAAACTTCAAACATGTACACACTAACAGTAGACTACATATATATTTCAGACAAAACTAAATCCAGATAAAAAGAATAAAGAAAAGGAAAATCAATATCTTATATGGAACAAATTCTAGTTTCTTATTTTCTCCATATAAATGTAAATAAATAATTAATATGCAGATATGTAGAAAAAATATAAAATCACATAAGATCAATGATTTTAAAAATTCAACTTTGAATTTTTATTTCCAGGATATGAAAGTGGTGCTAGACAAACCAACAAATATGGATAATGCAGTGATTCTCAACCTTTTCTTAGTCATTTCTCCCTAGATGTACTTCACCATTTATCCCCAATTCCATACAAAAAAAAAAAAAAAAGAAGAAAAAAATCTTTAAGAATTTATACAACACAATACTTGACACATGTATTTTGCCATTACTTTCTATGTAAAAAATATGCAAAACTAGTAAAAAGACACCCAAACACATGTTTTGCAGACAGAAACCTGTGATGAAGGCAACAAGTATACTACTTATATATAAGAAAGTGCATACAAACAGACCTCGTCTCTTTTTCTGAGGAGCTGTTTTATTTTTTGACAATGCTATCATATATATATATATATATATATATATATATATATATATATATATATATATATATATATATATATATATATATATATATATATATTATATATATATATATATATATATATATATATATATATATATATATATATATATATATATATATATATATATATATATATATATATATATATATATATATATATATATATATATATATATATATATATATATATATATATATATATATATATATATATATATATTATATATATAAACAATGTCAAAGGAACAAGAAAATGAAGGACTTTAAGTTACAACCAGATATTAGCAGCAACTCCACAAAATTCTTCCTTAAAGAAGCAACAAAAGTCATCAAACTTATCAACAATATTGCAACATTAGAAGATCTTCACTAGTGAAGGGTGATGGGGGTTGGGTGTAGATGTCCAGAACAGATGAATTAGCACCATCATGTGATGATCTACTACACTAGCCAGCCATTTTATTGTATATTTAACCTCTGCTATCTACATTTTTACCACACATAATAAATCTATCCATGGTTAGTGTATAGTGTATAGTTTAGTATAAATCACTGGTATAGTGTAACCTAAGAATATCAAAGGACACAAATGTAAAATATTTTTCTTGGGATCTAAGTGGACTCATATTTATAATAAACTTTTTCTTGAATGAAACAAATCATACTAAATATATATTCTTAATTCAACATTTAAAGAAGGGACTCAAATGAGAAATTTGCCCATATTCGGATGAAAAGACATCTTGTCACTGCATGAAATCCCAAAACGTGGTACCAAAGTAAGTTTACATTCACAAATTTGTACTTTTCAGAATCTAATGGTACTAAAATTAAGGAATTATGATAGCATTACTGTGCTTGTTACAATGTTTACATATCTATTGTCATAAAGGCAAGAAGAAAAGACTTTCAAGCTTAATCTATTTCCTAAACCCAGATGGGCTGAATTTGGTGCATCTACTAAAATACTATATATGGTCATTTACCTAATTCTTCTTCAGTAACAATCTTGGAGACTAATCCTGCCCTTAGAGCTTCTTCTGCTGTTATTGGCAGACCTGTCAGCAACATATGGGCTGACACCTTCCTTGGTACACATCTCACAAGAGGTATACCAGGAGTTGAGCAGAATATACCGACACTTCCTCTGCAAGGGAACAATATTTTTTTTTTTTACAAATGTGAAACACTAGACTGACTCAGGAAAATGACTTATCAGTAATGGATTCTCCCCCCTGTATATTGTGCCATATGTTATTTTTCTACGATAATTTGTGCCAAGTAACAAATAATGAGTTGAAGTAAATCAACCGTTATTGTTTTGAAGATAAATGTCAT